CTTCTCAGGAGTTAGAGGTGCAGCAGCAGCAGAAGTTGCTGCTATCGCGTGCTGCTTCAGCCACATCTCCGGCAGCAGCAGCAGCAGCAGCAGCAGCTGCTGCTGCTGCTGCAGCGGCTCCTACAGTTGTTGCTGCAGCTCCTTCTAGTGCCCCCGCCTCAGCATCAGCAACAGCAGCATCAGCATCAGCAGCATCAGCAGCAGCAGCAGCAGCAGCAGCAGCAGCAGTACGAGAACCCCTTTATATTCCTCCTGCTGGCTCTCTCAGCAACGCAGAAGTTTTAGCGCGTTTCGATGAATGCTTAAATTTAATTAAAGAAGAAGTTGTTGCTATCTTCGCTTGCCCGCCTGTTATGCCTTCAGGACCACACCCAGAGAGGGTCTGCTGCTGCTGCTGCTGCTGCTCCTGCTGCTGCTGTTGCTGTTGCTGCTGGTGGTGATGGTGGTGGTGGTGGTGGTGATGGTGGTGGTGGTTGTTGTTGTTGCTGCTTTTGGTGCTGCTGCTGCTGCTGCTGTTCTTCGCGATGCTGCTGGAACTGCAGGTTGCTTCTTTCTGCTGTCCTGTTGACGTGTCGCTGCGCTTGTAGCTGCTGCTGGTGCTGCTGCTGCTGCTGCTGCGGGTACGAGTACATTGCTGCTGCTGCTGTTGTGTGTGTGTGTGCTGCAGTTTTCATCTCCGGCTGGCTGCCGCGCAGCAGCAACACCTGTTCCTCGCTGCAGCACGCCAGCTTTGCTTGTTGCTGCTTGTCTTCCTTCAGACGCAGATTTATTTATTCAACTAGAAACAGCACTAGCTATTGCTGCTGCAGCAGCAGAATACCAAGAAGCTGCTTCTCTCCTCGCTCATAGAGTCCTCAGGGCAATGCTTGCTGCTGCTTCTTCCTTTCAGACCAGACCCTCACACTCGCCTATTAGGGGGGTTGATAGAGTCTGTAAGCTAAACCCTAAACCCTCGTAAACCCTAAACCCTAATAAACCCTAGTAAACCCTGAAAAACACTAAGAAACCCTAGGAAACCCTAAACCCTAATAAG